GAGGCCCGGCCGGCGTGCGAGAGCAAACAGAACACAAATCACTTACAACGGCATCGTCTCCTGCGCCGGCACCGCCTAATCACTTCCCCCCCGCAACCGCTGCCGCCGTCGCTGCCGCCCTGGGCATGATCCACTGAGGCGGGAGGGAGGGGGAGCCTGCCTCAGCCGTGGGTCCAACCCCACTCCCGCGCCCGCTCCCGCCGCTTTAAGCGCTTCTCCTCCTTCCCCTTCGTCCTAACATGGCGCCCGTGCGCTACCACAGCAACGTTCTAGAACCGGTGACGTCACCACGCACGCTGTGCGCGCGCCTGCGCACCAGCCACTCGGCGCCGCAGGGTTTCACGGGAGGCGTAGTTCAGGAGGTGGCGGCGGGCCCGCGATATCAACTCGATTCCTCTCAAGCTTCCACTCGAGGTGTCCGGTGATGGGTGGGAGCGGTCTGGGAGGCCTCAGGTGGCAGGTTGGTTGTTCCTCCGGCGGACACGCTGTCGTGACCGGCGGGGGAGGTGCAGCCCAGACAGGTCCCAGACCCCGCGGGGGACTGCTTCCGGCGCTGATGAGGACCCGCCTTTCTCGCCGCCCGCGGCAGCGCTTGCGGGGCCGCTGTACCCACGCGTGCACCACGTGCTGTCCCCGGGCCCGGCGGCGGGTCGGCGCCCGGGGTCCCAAGTCCCTCGGCCGGCACGTGCTCTCCTGCAGGTGGGAGTGGCGCCGGCTTCCGGGTGGTGGAGACCGGTGCGGTGCTGCGGGAGGGTTGCCTAGCACAGAAGCTGGCACCGCGGCGCCGGAGCGTTGCCAGGACTGCCGTTCGCGCCGCCTGCTCCCGTGTGGTCCTGATGCGCTGACGCGGGCGCGGACGAGCGTGTGGCGGGCGGCTACATCTGCAGGGGAGGACTGGGATGACAGCGGATTCTGGAACAGGAGCTAATTTTACTTTTAACAAACGGTGCGCTGGGACTACTTGAAAAAGCCATCGGTAACAACGGGGATTTTCGCAGAGGCTGTTCAGGTCATAATTTACCCCCGAGGCTGCGTTTCTAGCTCTTACTCTATCACTTCGGTGGGACCAGGAATTAAGTTCCCTCCTTTGCCCCCAGCAAAATACTTATTCCCTCATAAAATTACATCACGTTCTACGTTCCAAGCTGTCACCGGGTAAATGGGGGGGCGGGGGTCAACTAGGGAAAAGTTACTCAACTAGGGAAAAGTTACTCAAAACTCTTAAAAAAAAAAAAAAAAAAAAGTAAATCCTCAGGACACCGCGTATCAAAAAGTCGGGGGATGTAGCTCAGTGCAAAGGCCCTGGGTTCAATCCCCAGTACAAAAAAAAATTAAATAAATTGAAGGTAGAAGATCTAGAGAAATCAGTAATATATTAAGGCTGTGGTCTTAAAAGTTGCTCATAAAGATGTGCACTGTAGATGTTTATGAATTAAAGAAGAAGCAACCAGCTCATGCTCTGCTCTGCTAGACATCTCAGAAAGCCGTGAAAAAGAGAACTGGGCGTGGTAACAAATTCTGCAATCTCAGCTACTCAAGAGTCTAAGGCATGAAGATCTCAGGTTAAGGCCGGCCTGGGCAACCTAGCAGGACCCTGGTGGCCGGGTGAGGGATAAACGTTAAACTTTGGTTTGGGTTTTGGTGTGTGTGTGTGAGAGGGGTTGTTTGGTTGGTTGGTTGGTTGGTTGGTTGGATTGGTTTTTTTGACACAGGGTCTCGCTGTGGAGTTCTGGCTGGTCTTGAACTCACTATGTAGTCCAGGCTAGTCTGGAACTTATGGCAACCCTCCTGTCTCAGCCTCTCAAGTGCTAGGATTATAGGCGTGCACCACCATGCCTTGGCCCTTCCCTGGTTTTTGTTTATAGTTACTCTAAACAAATGTTTTTTCACACTTCCATAGGGGGAGAGAGAGCTAGAGAGCAAAGGACATGCTAGATAACACGTTACTTGCTGAAGACATTCGTAAGAAACTGCGTTACTGTAATAATATACTTGAAGGAGTGAAGGTAGAATTCACACAAGAGGTCACTTTAGAACCCAGCATGATAGCACAGGCCTGTAATCATAGCATTTCAGGAGGCTGAGGCAGAAGGATCACAAATTTGAAGCAAACCTGGGAGTTCGAGGTCAGCCTGAACTACATAAACCTTGTCCCCAAAAAACAAAAAGTAGTGACTTTAGAAAGACTTTGGTAGAAAAGTTAGGAATGGATAAGTTGATGGAGGAGGACAGGGGCATACCGGGTGAAGGGGACAATAGGAAAAGAAAGAAAAGACAAACAATTGAATGTTTACTTGGAGAAAGAATTCTGAAGTGACTGGACAGCAAGGAATGCTGTGGGGAAATGCAGCGGCGGAAGCAAGTTGGGACGCTCCAGGACAGGCAGACGGACAAGAACCTTCATTCAGTGAATGGCTACACGCCTGCCTCCCGGCCACCACTGTGCTAGGGTGGGTGAGGAGGCGTGTGTTGCTTTCCACTGTAACCCAGAGAGACTTCACGAGAGGGGAGAGGGAGGACAGATGATAAATCCACAGACAGACGCGGGAATTAAGATCGTGCTAAGAGCCATGGATGAAGTGAACCAGACGATAGCATTGTGGAGGAGGTCAGCTGCAGCGCAGGTGGTCAGATAAGACAAGGTTTTTCAGAGGAGCAGAGACCTGAAGCTACTCGGAGACATCTTTATCTTTTTGTGAAAAGGAGAGCCATGGAAAGTTTTAACAGGAGTGAGAGTACATTTGTATTTTTAAGAGAATTAGTCGGCATGGTGGTGCACAGCTGTAGTCCAAAGAAACTGAGGCAGGAGGGTCGTGACTGGATTGCGAGTTGGAGGCCAGCCTGGACTACATAGCTTGACAGAGAAACCAAGCCAGGCATGGTGGCACACACCTGTAATCCCGGCATCCAGGAGGCTGAAGCAGGAGGATCCCTGCAAGTCTGAGGCCAGCCAGTGCTACATAGGCCAACCTGAACGAAATAGTGAGAACCTGTCTCAAAAAATGGAGAAACCAAAAAAAGAAGGAAAAGAGATACGTAGTAGGGAGTCAATTTGAAGTTTGAACTAGGAGCAGCTTCCAAGGTGTGATGAGATATAGCCAGACACGGTGGCACACTTACAATCCTGTGCTGGGGAGGCTAAGGCAGATGAATCATTGTGAGGTCGACTCCAGCCTGAGCTGTATATCGAGTTCAAGGCCAGGGAGAACTACATAGCAAGACCCTCACTCAAAACAAAAATAGTTGATGTAGTTCTTGCTGGTGTTTCGTGTGAGATGACGAAGCTTGAAATAAGGATGCAAAGGGAACAATATGAGGGAGATTTAAGAAGTACATGAGAAATGGAGAGGAAGATGAATGATTTCCGAGATTGTAGTAAATGAAGTCCCTAGGTGAGTGGCCAAGTTTGAGCACCGATCTAATATGCATTGATTTGGGGGTGCAGCGGACCCTGCAGAAATGGCTTTTGCACCCTTGCTATACTGTAGGCTTCGGGAGCCAGGCGAGAGGTCGAGGCTGAAAATAAGAGATGATGAACTAGGAAGGCCAGTCTCGTGGGCCGGACTCGGTGTCAGCTCTTGCAAGGACCTTACCCACCCACCCCACCCACCGACTCCAACTCAGACTTCGCCAGTGAGTGAGGAGCAGGGTGTCCGCATGTCACATGTAGGATCCAATTAAAGGTCAGACCTTTGCCCGAAAGAGTGAAGAGTGAGATAAGGCCAATTACCGTGGTTTAGACATCTCCAAACCCACAAGCCCTTGCCTGGCCCTGGCTGTCCAGAACCCTCCCCGCGTCTCCTTCCAGCTATTGCTGGACTCCCCTACCTGTGGCCGCCTCTCTGCAGCCCTAGCCCTGGACCTATTCCTGCTGGCTCCTGAGAAGGGGGAGGATGTGCTTCTGTTACTATTTATTTATATTGATTTTGCTACTGAGGATTGAGCCCAGGGGCTTTGCACTGAGCTACATCCCCAGCCCTTTTTTTTTCCCCAATTTTTGAGACAGGGTCTCACTAAGTTGCTAAATTGCCTGGGCTGGGCCCAAACTTGAGATCCTCCTGGCTCAGCTTCCAGAGTGTTAGGATTACAGGCATGTACCACCATGCCTGGTTCTGCTGGTATCTGTTCATTTTGTTTTGTTTTTTTGAGACAAGGTCTTAGTATGTAGCTCAGGCTGGGCTTGAGCTCACTTTGTAGCCCTGGCTGGCCTCAAACTCAAAGTGATCTCCTGCCTCAGCCTCCCGAGTGCTGGGATTACTGGCATATGCCACCACACCTGGCACCAGGCCTTTGATTTTTGAGACAGGGACTTACTGAATTGCCCATGCTGGGCTTGAATTTGAGATCATCCTGCTTTACCTTTGCCAAACCCTGGGGTTACCGGGCCACTATGCCCGACTCGTTACCATTTTGAGTTTCCACCTCAGGGTGTGATTTTTACACTAATTAAAAGAAAAAAAAAACTAAGGGAGGTGCAGTATTACAGGCCTATAGTGCCAGTAGTTGGGAAGCTGAGGCAGAAAGACCTAGAGTTCAAAGATACAGTGAGAACTTGTCCCAAAACCAAGAGGGAAAAAGAAAATGAAAAGTGACCAACTATAACTGTATAAATTATTTTGTATAAAAGGAGAGGCATCCACTACCACACCATAGAGACAGTAACTATATAAAAGTAAAGATAACCGTAGTGACCCTTGCGCCCATGCATCTGTCCCTTACCACCTGGAACTGCCCCTTATCATCTGGAAAGTTCCTAATTGGGTTTTGGAGCAGGCAGATCACTCCCCTGCCTGCGTGGGTTTGTTTTTAATGATCTTGGTGTTTTGGCTCTGCCTTCCAGGCATTTCTGGGGACCTCACAGTCTTTGAAGGCTGACTGCCTTCCCATCCTCCCTTGCCTGTGTGTTATCAGAAGGCCATAGCCTTCAAGGCTGGAGCACTTTTTTTTTTTTTTTTTTTTTTTTTGAGACAGGATTTCACTATGCAGTTCAGGCTGGACTTGAGCTCACTTTGTAGCCCAGGCTGGTCTTGAACTTGCAGTGATCCTCCTGCCTCAGCCTCCTAAGTGCTGGGATTACAGGTTTAAGGCTGGTGTACTTTTTAACTCCCAGTTCCCTGGTACGTTTGTGAACCCCATAGGACTGAATGATTAGCTGCTCCATATCATTTAAGAAGTAGTAGTTGCAGATACTGGGAGGCTGGAATATTATATTTCCCCAGTGAACCCAGTGCCTTCTTGTTAAGCTACATCCCCAGTTCTTTTTTTCTTTTTTTTTTTTTTTATTATAAAACAAGGTCTTGCTAAATTGCCTTGAATTTGTAATCCTCTTCACTCAGGCCCCAAGTAGCTAGGATTACAAGAGAGTACGCCAACACACCCTGCCCCACTTTCCCAATAAAGAACTTTAACAGAAGACCAGAGGATGTGGGTGCAGTGGCACGTACCTGCAATACTAGCATTCCTGAGGCAACAGAGTTTAAAGCCAGCCTGGACAACGTAGTAAGACCCTGTTTCAAAACACACACACACACACGAGAATAAAAATTCAGATTTATGAGTTACTAAAATCAAAACAACATAAGTGCTGGGCATGGTGGTGTATGCCTGTTATCCCAGCACTTGGGAGGCTAAGGCAGGAGGATCATTTCAAGTTCTAGACCAGCCTGGGCTACAAAGTGAGCTCAAGTCCAGCCTGAACTGCATAGTGAGACCCTGTCTCCAAAATGACAAAAAAAAAAAAAAAAAAAAAAACATTTTCATCTAATGGGTGTTTTATTGTCCAGCTTGAACTGTCCTTTCATCAAATACAGTACTTATTCTTCTTTGTTAAAAAAAAAAAATTCTGGTTCATTGTTTTAGACCGAGATCCTGGAGTCAGCCTCAATAGATTAGACCGAGAGCTGAAGTCATACTGACTTTCCACCAGAAGAAACAAGATTATCTGACCTTCCTGGAAATCAAGAGAAACAGTGGTCAGATTTCCCAGTCCAGCTCGTTCGAGTCACCATGGTAGTAATGTTGCCTGTGCTTTAGCCCTTACAAAACAAAGCTCCTGAAATAACTTGATGTTAACCGATCTGCTGTTCTTCTGTTGTTCTGTCTACCTGGCCTGGTGTGTTACTGTAAAGACAGTCACTTTGAAATGACCAAACTGCTTTTATTCTTTATTTCTTTTTTCTTCAGCTATTTTCTATCTGTAAAACCAACCTCCTCGGGCAGGGGATATAGCTCAGTGGTAGATGCTTCCCTAACAAAGGCAAGGCCCTGGATTTAATTGCCAACTCTACAAGAAAATGAAAAGGAAAAACTCTGCTTGGCCTATGGGAACACTTACTGTGGTTGTTTTGTTTGTGTTATTTTAGACAGAGTCTCACTATGTAGTTGGCCTTGAGATGACTATGTAGTCCAGGCTGGCCTTGAACTCGCAGTGATCCTCCTGCCTCAGCCTCCCAACGGTTGTGATTACAGGTATGTGGCACCATCCCCAGGTGTTAAGCCCTTTTAAGTGTTTATTGGTTTGTAGGATTTTGAAGAATGTGTTTCCTGTCCTTTGTATGAAAGAAAGAATCACAGTAGGATATGGATTAGAACTAATCTCAGCCAGGCATGGTGGCAAATGTCAGTCATCCAAGCACTCAGGAGGCTGAGGCAGGAGGATAACCTTGAGTCTGAGGCCAGCCTGAGTTACAAAGTGAGACCCTGTCTCAAACAAAACAAAGCAAAACAAAAACATAAAAGGCAAAGAACTGGCCCCAAAACTGCTTCCTCCCATCTCTGCCTCTCAATATTTTACACAGTCACTTTCCAGGCTCAAGCCAAAACAAGTGAGCAGCCTTGACCTACTGTATAGACACACACACACACACACACACACACACACACACACAGAGCGTTGGGGGTTGAACCCAGCAGTTCTGCTGTGAGCAACATTTGCAGTCCTTTTTGTATTTTTTATTTTGAGACAGGGTCTTCCACATTGGGGTCGAAATTTCAGTCCTTCAGGCCAGGTGTGGTCATGCACGCCTGTAATCCCAGCACTTGGGAGGCTGAGGCAGGAACATCGTTGCAAGTTCAAGACCAGCCTGGGCTACAAAGTGAGCTCAAGGCCAGCCTGAACTCCACAGTGAGACCCTGTCTCAAACACACACACACACACACACACACACACAAATTTAGTCCTCCTGAGTCAGCCTCCCACAAGTGCTGGGATTACAGGAGTAAACCTATCTCTTCTTGTAAGGGTGTTAATCCTATTGGGCCAAGGCCCACTTATGACCTCAGTTAACTTTAGTTCCCCAGTGGACCCTTCAAATACTACAGCCATATGGAGTTAGTGATGCAGGAGATTGGGGTGTGGCCAGCGGGCTGGGCAAGTGGGCAGGACACAAGCACAAAAAATCCCAAGCTCTGCACCTGGGATCAGTCAAAAAATGCTGTCTTCAATCTTCTGGTGTGAAATCAAGCAGGCTTTTGATAGGACAGAGAGAAGTAGTACAATTACAGTCTTCCTTTCTGTAGCTGATCATGGGTCATAGGTGTTATTTAGAGCTACCTTTTTCCATTACTCAGTCTATATTCCCTTGGCCTTCAGCAAGCACCTCAGCAGGTCTTAGTTCTTTCCCTGGTGGAGTGACCCATACCGTCATTCCTGAGGGTTCTGGACCATTTATCATTCTCCCTGGATTGGGTTGTTGTAGTTTCCTATTCACTTTAATAACAAGGCACAGTAGTCGTGTGTGGTGGCACATGCTTATAACCCCAGCACGTAGGAGGCTGAGGCAGGAGGATCACCACCAATTTGAGGCCAACCTGCACTATATAGTGGGTTCAAGGCCGGCCTGAACTTCATAGTGAGACCCTGTCTCAAAAACCAAAAGAAAAAAAAAAAAAAAAAAAAGGAAGGGCAACCCATCTGGGACCCCTCCTGTCTCAGGAGCTATTCCCATTCCCCATTCCTTTTCTCCAATAAATTTTCAAAGTTTTAACCTCCATTTTTTCTTAAGAATTCATTCTTTGACTTTGGGGAACATGAACTTGGTGTATTTGACCTCTAGCATTTCCCCTATATCACTCAGAGGCTGGAAGAGTGCCTGGTAAAGACTGGGTGCTCATTTTTGGAATGAGCGACCTGACGCATAAATCCATCCATCACTTTCCTAGTTATGTACTACAAACATATGTACCAATAAAAATAAAAATTTTTAAGAGATTAAAAAAACCAGGGCACAGTAATACTAGGAGGCGCCCTAAGGGATCTCCTGCGCTCCATGCATACTCTTCCACTCCTCGATCGTGGAGTAGTCCAATTTCCCCTTCCTAGTCTCATTCAATCGCTCCGGACAACACCGCAACTCCCTTTGCAGCTTGTTTCCTCAGAGGCATAAGCAGACCAAAATGACCAGGGGGAAGTCTTAGCTTCCTGTTCAGTGTTATCATTTTGCTTCCTGGTACAAGGCTTCCCCTCTCTGGAACTAAAACTTCTAAGCCAGCAGAACATAAGGTCAGAGGAACAGGAAGCAAAACTTTCGCTAGTGAAGCACTGAGGGTAATGCTGAGCGGTACCATTCCCACTTCCACCCCTTGATTCCTGGACCCATGGATCCCGGCTGTGGGAGACACACTACCATATAGCAGATGCTGATTCAAAGCATATACAGCCTTTTGAAGAACCTTACCCCAGCCCTGCAAGCTATTGCCAACTACCCGGCCCTGTAATTTGTCTTCAAAAGACCATTCCACCTTTCTATCAATCTAGCTGCTTCTGGATGATGAGGAACATGGTAAGACCAATGCATTCCACAAGCATGAGGCCCTTACTTCACTTCTTTGGCTATAAAATATGTTCCTTGGTCAGAGGCTATGGTGGATTAACTAATGGTCAACTTGTAACACCCAGGTGAACTGAATCACCATGGTGCTGAGTGTGGAAGGCCCACCTGAGGACTGTTACCAACAGCATAAAAAGAGACCTGGAGGGGAAGATGGTGCGCTGTTGATTCTCCCAGGGAAGCTCGTCACGCTGGCTTTCCTGATATGAACTTAGCTGTTACCATCAGAGGAGCTTGGGTCCTTGCTGTTCCTGAGGATGGCTGCGGTTCTTTTCGGGGGAGCTCTGGTCCTTACTTAGTGTCACTTCCTGGTTCCAGAGCAGATCCCTCAGCCTGCTGGCACAGATCCTTTGCCCCACTGGTGCAGACTTTCTAGCTTCCACCACTGAGCTTTAGGCCTTCCCAGCACAGATCCCTGAAATGGACTTGCATGAGACATTGTCATGGGCTCTAGGTCTTCAGCTGGACTCATGGAGGACATTGCCATGGGATCCAGGGCCTCAGCTGGACTCTTTGGGTCTCCAGTGTGTGGACAGATCTCCCACACTCCTTTGCATTCGACTCTTTGGATGAATATTATAAAATAACCCTATATATTACATGTCCTGTATTATACTTTTTCCCTTGCAAACCCTGACTACAACAGAGGCAGTGCTGTGTGGAATTGCATGATGGTGGATAAGGCCTTCTGTGAGTCCACGGATAGTAGTTTTGGCAGAAGCAGTACGTGCAGGGAAGGCAAATCCATATCCGGGAGAAGTGTCTATGCCACTGAGGACAGAGCGCAGTCCCCTCCATGATGGAAGCAGTCCAATATAATCAACCTGCCGCCAGGTCACAGGTTGATCACCCTGGGGAATGTTGCTGCATCAGGGATTGAGTGTTGGTCTCTGCTGCTGGTATATTGGGCATTCAGCAGTGGCTATAGCTAGGTCAGTCTTGGTGAATGGGGGTCCATGTTGCTGAGCCCATGCATAACCTCCGTCCCTGCCATGAAGGCCACTCTGTTCATGGGCCCATTGAGTAATGACAGGACTGGCTGAAGAAGGAGGCTGACCATTATCTATGGAGAGCCCTTCCTGGTCCTCATCGTGGCCCGGAAGTTTGTATTTGTAATCCCATGGAAAAGTTACCAGAATTCTAGTGAGTCAATTCCAATCTACCACTTCCAGGGCAACCCATGGTGAGAATAAAGACACTAAGACATACTTGTAGTTATGGGGAGCCAAGGGTCCCAAAGTCTAGCCACAGTGATGACCATCTGGAGCAAAGGACCTCCACTCAAGGCTGAACCTGGGTTTTATTCATTCATGAAGAAGGGAGAGGCTTGAGGATGAGTGACTGAGAATGGCAGGAAGTATGTGAGTGCCCTGAGCTAGGCTAGGTGGGAAGCCTGAAATCACCTTTGCCAATGCAGAGAGGAGGATCTGTAGAAAGAGTAATCTGCATAACACAACTGAGATAGTGTCTAAAGTTTTGGGGTGGGTGCTTCAGCCCTGATGTGTAATCTTTCAAGGCCCAGGGAGTCATAGCCTCTATCTTGAGTGGAACACTGGCTCTTCATCCCAACTTGTTTCCAGCTCACACAAGGGAACAATGGATGGGGATCCGGGGAAACACGCCTGCCATCTTCAAAGACTACCATCAGCACCTCGGCTGGACTGATACACGTTGTGCAAAGCCAACTGAAAGGACAAGGAAAAGTCCCAGCCAGCTCTGTACATATAAACACATGGTTATAGGGTCAGGCTCAGCTAAAATGGACACAATTGCTCCTCCTTCAAGAATCACCTGGGTGGTCCTCCACAACTATCTACAAAATGGGTCATCTTATCCATTTGATTGTGAAAGCCCTTTTCTGCTGAGGTCACCTTTTGGTGAGAGATTACGTGGGAAACAAATATTTTTAAACCCTTTTGCTCACTTGGAGAGGTCTACCCATATACTTCTCCAAATATCTTTGTCACCAGTTTTTCTAGTTACATTCCTTTCAAGTTCCTGACCACTGAACCAGGCAATTGGCTACAGCCTGTGGATCAGTATATAGTCACACATCTGGCCATTTCTCCTTCGAGGCAAAATGTACCACCAGGTGCACTGCCCGAAATTCTGCCCACTGTGATGAATTCCCTTCAGCACTGTCCTTCAAGGATGTCCTGGAAAGGGTGCTGCAGTGGATGCTGGAGTAGATGCTGCAGCTGTTCACTTGTGAGTGGTGCCTCTATAACGTGCAGAACCATCCGTAAAACAGGCCCTAGCTTTCTCTTCCTCTGACAGCTAACCACATGGTACACCCCACAAGACCACAGGTGCATGCTGGGAAGCAGAAGGTAATATGGTAGAAGTAGGGGCCATGGGCATCTGGACAACTTCACGTAATT